TGCAACTTATGCTGAGCGAGTCTCTTCTCCAACTGTTCGATCTCACTGTCAATCGAAGCTTGCTTAGATAATGCTTCCTCCAGACTAAGCTTCTGAGTCTTCAGTAAGTTCGATTTCTCAATCTGGAAGGAAGCAATGTCGGATAATTTGGTCGAGATCGATTGTTTCTTCTTCCTTGCCTCATATGCTTTGTTGAACAAATCGGCAGCCGCCGCGACCTCCACATCGAGACCCCTCGGGAGATTATCATCAAGGCACGTCTCGAGGGCAGTAATGATATCTTGAAATTGTTTCTTCTTGTCGCGCGACTCCACCAGAACTTCGAGAGGCGAGGAATAAAAGAAAGATCGAAAACGTTGCTTCAGCTGGTATGGTCCCTCAGTTGAGATCATAGGCGTCTTGGAAGAGTCTGACGGCGTCGCTTCTTCTGATAACAGAATATCGAGTATCAAAAAAGGGTCTTCTTCGATTGCAGCTCGATATTCTGGCACATTGCTTGGGGCAGGCGCACCTATCTCGGGTAATGTCGCCGAAAGCAACTCGAAATGAGGCATCGCAAAAGGTGGAGAATCCTGTCGCTCCACGGAAGCAGAGGAAGGAGAGTCCTGAACTTGGACTACTGGGATATTTACTGAAAAGAAAAGGAATCAAAGAGGTGATTCGAGAATTCATAATAAAGAATGATATGAAAAATCAACAGTGAAGGGAAAAGTTAAGTACCAGAGGAAGGTAGAGCAAGGGGTACTGAGGCAGGAGGAAGAATCTGTATAGCCTCAGGTTGCTATAAATCGAAAACAAATATCAGAACAGGGAATATATAAAAAGTCAAACAGACACATATAAAATTATATAAGAGTAATACCTCAGGAGGGGGTGTTGATGTTTGAATTTGAGAATCGACATTTGTCGATATAGTCGCCGATGGATGATCCTGAAAAATATCAAGAATCGAAATCAGGTAACAGGTCTTATCGAGATCTAGGAATATAAAATGATGTAAAGAAGGCACTTACGTGACTGGAATGTGTCGTGGGGGTAAATTGACCCACTTCAGTGATTATATTGGAGTCCGTCGACAATGGATCAATGGCAGGTGGGTGAGTAGATCGAGGACTCTTCAATTTTTGTTTCTGAAAATTAAAGATCGAAAAGAAATAAGTATAAGAATGTGGATCAACCAGACAGAAAAATGAATAAAACAACGAGAAATCAAAAAGCACCTTCGATTTCTTTGAAGATGAGGAAATGGTGGCCGATTGTTTGCGTTTTCTGACGAAGGCCGATGGGTCCGACTCATCTGAGGACTCCCAGTCCTCTTGTCTCTTCTCCTGACCTTTCTCGACAGCGATGGCCTTGGTGGACTTCGAAACTGTCAATAAAAGAAGACATATTAGCTTACAATATACAGAACCAAAAAAGCATAAAAAAGCAGTAAAATCTCACCAAAAGGTGATGGAGTCAAAATCGTGACTCGATCGATATGTACAAGCCAGGAAGGTAGAAGAATTTGAGGGAGATGGAGGTAAGGGAAATAAGATAATTTCGATACAGAAATATTGTTGTTTTTGGGTTTTGGGCGAAGTGTTTCCCCTAGGGATCTCAATTCTCGAACCCATTTGGGATGAGTTAAAGGTTTGGCAAGTCCAAAAGGAGCTGTGGGAAAAGTGGGAAGGCGATTTGGGCAATACATTTCAAAAGGGGTTCTACCTAGAGGATTGATTATTTTGTGGTTCGATCGATTAATGTCTGTTTTATTGGATAAGGAGATAACAACATCGTAATAGGTCGATTCTAATTTCAGTGGGTTGTAACATATTTGATAAAAATTCTCGAATCGAGATATTTGAAGACAGTGGAAGTGTGTACCTTTCTTCGTTTTCGATTTGTCCTGCAACACAAGAGAAGGATGAGTAGTCAATTTCTGTCGAACTTCGTCAAAGGTAGAATGATTACTCGAGAACCAATCGGCCCACCATTGAGAGAAACCCATAGTTGATAAATAGTTTGATTCAAAGGCATAGGGATAAAAAAGTAGTGGGGTTTTTGGCAAAAGCTTGGCAAGCTCCCGTCCGATTGTCGATTCAGTTAACTTGGACCTTGGGGAGGTATCTAGGGGGAAGAAGGGTAAAGATTGGCTCAAACCAAATTGTCTCGAAAAAAGTTGGGGGTAGTAAGTGATAAACTTAAAGTCCTTAGATTGGAAACCCGATACTAGTACATCCTGAGTTAAATAATTACTCCATACATCGACCAGCTCTGATTGCAACCCAGGAGTTAAAGCAGGGAATTTTGACTTAAACCAAATTGGCCCCCTAAGTTGGTCACTAATTCGTCCAAGATGTATGGTAAAAGGAGTCAAAGTTGAATCGAAATTAAACCTAGTTAACAAAAATTTAAGGTATCTACAATAAGCCGCTTCGTCGGGTTTGTGGTGAGGATGGCGGGAAGACAATCGGGCACCTTCTATATTTACACTTGGGGGGATGGTAGAAGTTGGGGGAAGGATGCTCTCAAAGATCAAATTTAGCCACAACTGTATAAACCAAATAGGGCCAGAAAAATTTCCCGAAGCTTTAGGAGTGTTCAAAATTTCGACAACCTCGTCGAAAACAGTATATACATGTGCTAGCAAAAATTTGGCTAAACATACTCTAGGTTGGCCTAGATGAAGGAGATATGCAAGGTCAAACAGATGGGAGGAAATTTGGATCGATCGGGGGCAGAAAACATGGGTACACAACCAGTACACCAAAAAGGCTATGTGCTCTTCATCAGTTACAGCTATTGATTCGTCATCGACGAAATGCTTCTCGAGGAAATGCCCATAAGCTTTCGATTCCCAATCGATTTTAGATCTTAGAGAATTATCCGAGGGACATGCACCCTTAAAATATCTTTCCCCTATAGGTTCTAATCCAGTAATGGCCGCGACTTCAAAAAGGGTGGGTGAGAGGGGATCGCAAGGTAATTCCAGGGCATGTATTTCCTTATTCCACAAGTGAACGACAACCAAAAACATAGCCATGTCCAAATGAGATAAGTCACATCGGGACAGGTGCAAAAAATCGAAAATTCCCACGCTTCTCCAATGATTCCCGAATTTTACTTTAACCCTATCAAACCATCTAATGTACAAGGGTTTTTTGGAAGGAGGGCCCGTCCGATACACCTTAGAGACAAGATTCAAAAAATCAACCCTAACTTCAGGTTGGTGTACAAGAGCTGAACTATTCGAGAGGTTGAGGGGAGAAAAAGTTCCATCAATAGAACGAAGAGGACCCCCAAAAGCATAATTAACACCATCAGCAGTGTAAGGAATAAGTACTTGCGTTTCAACAATTTTTCGAGAAGCTTCCTCCATCAGAGGGACTGGAGCGAACTTCTGATTGTTAATCTCCAGCAGGTTAGATGCCAATGAGGGAAGAGGTGGAGCGGAAAAGTCAGAAGATTTGGAGGAAGTTGCCATTTCAGTAACTGGTAGAGTGAAGAAAAGCAAAGCAAGAGATGAAGGTGCAGGGATGAAGACAAGAACTCAAGGAAGAAGATGAAGTTGCAAAGGGTAAAGGTTCGCGTAAAAACCAGAGAAATACCAATGGAGAGATTAAGGGGAAAATCACCTAGGGAGCTGGAAACGACGGAGGCGAAAGACAATTAATGTGGCTTGTACTGTAAGGCAGCAGACTGACGAGACGGCGACATAAAGCAAAAAAGAAATCCTTTAAACCCTAGAACCCCAGAAACCCTAAACCCTAAGTTCTGTGGGCCTCCAAATGCTAAGGCAGGAATATTGAAAGAATATAAACAGACACTATTCATATTCTTCCAAGGGGGCATTTTGTTAGTTGGAAAATCGAGAAAAGCGATCGAAAACGAAGGAAAGAAAAGCGAGAAAATATGTGACTGATTGATAAATCGATAAGATAGACGAAAAACCATTCGATGTCTAATTAGAAGTTTGTAGCACTTAACATCGAGAAGCACAATCGAGAATCAAATGAATGATAGCCAAATGCCTATTGTCGAATAAAAAAAAACTAAGAAATTTGAATTATATGATGTTTCGGTTAAAAAGGAATCGTAAGCAATTCGAAGTCTCGAAAGTATAAAATCGAAAGTGAAGAAGGCTAACCTACGTGGATATCGAAACCTTGGCCAAATTGTGAAGGGAAGAACAGTCAAGCGCACATACGGGAAACAGTTTCTAAACCATGGTAGAAGTTGAAGATCGTGAGAACGTGGGTATAGTATTGAAACCATAGAAGATAAACTGCAACACGCACGTAGAACGTGGCAGCAGTTTTGTTAACTGCTCTTGGAAGGTTTGAATGATGCCCTATAAATAGAGCAAAGGAGGAAGGAATAGGGAGCAGAAAATTGGCAGAGAACAGAATCATTAGTGAGAAGTCTACCGGAGAAACGACGAATATCATGAAGTTTCTGACAATCTGGATTTCCATGCTCATTGAGTACCTTTACCGCTTTTTGTATTATCCTTGGTAATTTACTTTGATGCAATTTATCTTCAACAATTTTATGTTTCTGTACTTTCGATTTTTTGTCATTTCGATTCAATGAAAGTTAAGTTTCCGCGTTTAAGTTTCCTTGTTATTTACATTTCTGCTGTTTCGATTCCTTGTCTTTTATATTTAAAACAAATTTAGGATCTCCGCACGTTACATTTCTTTGCAATTTTATGTTCAGCCCTGCTTTTCGATTCCATTAATTTTCTTTCTTTACTTCGAGTACTCTAGATATAAAACAACAAAAATAGTATCCTTGAAATCGGGTAAAATTCGATCCTCATACGCATCCCGATTGAAAATTAATTTGCTAGCCTAAGTGAAAAAGAACTTACGTGGTAGAATTTTGATTAGAATCAAAATATCTTAAGAGTCGAAATCGATCGAAATTCCACCAGAAACAGGTGGCATGCGTTGAGGAAGGGGAATTGTGTGAACAACACCCTTCTGCATGAGATCATCTTCTGCACCACGGTGGAGATGGCTGGTGTTGTGTTCAAGTTTGAGAATGAGGCAGCACCAGATTTGGACGTACCAGAAGAAAAGAAAAGGGTGCCATTGGTGGAGATCATAAATAACTCAGGTGAAACCCCTCTCTTTAGAGCTGCCAACCTTGGCAGGCTTAAGATGCTCAAGTATATGGCCAAACATGCTCAGGCTGACATAAGAAGACATTTTGTTAGCTATGACAAATATTCCATTCTTCATGCCAGCATTCTTGGACAGTTTTTTGGTACGTTTATGTCTCACTATGTACTTATATACCATCACTTTATTTGACGAAGAATAAGGGCTCAATTTTTCTGCATCACTTTTAGTTTCAGGGTTTTTTTAAAAATATCTCTTTTACTTGGCCAATGAATTATAGTAATTGGGTATCCTCTATACCCAGATATAGTAGTTGTCCTTAAACTAAAATATGAGGCAGAATAATATTAAATGTCAGTCACTTACTTATCAATGAGAGAGGCAAATACTCTTTTTTACTCTGTGAAAAGAGTGTAGAATCAAGAGAAGCTAGAGAATATTTTTCTCAAGAATATTATACATGGAGACAGTGACTAGGGTGTTGCTTTATATTAATTTTTCGGATATCAGAATCAATGAGTATCAGTTTCTGGTACAGATGTTGCTATTTGGTTGTTAAATAATATGGATGAAAAGCTAGCTCAACACAAGGATATGAATGGAATGACATGTCTTCAACTTCTATCCAATATGCCACTTGTATTTCGGAGCCAAGCCCCTTCCATGGGAACCATGAAGAATCTTTTATATTACTGTACGTTTCACTCTTTCCGTATTCCCATTTCCCAAATTCACATATATTATGTTACAATCATTTTTTTCAAAAGAGACAGTTTTGCTTTGAATATAATCGGTATATATATATATATATATATGTGTGTGTGTGTGTGTGTGTGAGACATGCATTGGCGCTCAGTGATTGAAATTTGGCTGACGCAGTGCTTCCCGAGGACGGTTATGAAATCGATGATGATGAAAATGGCAGTGCAGATTTCAGATATGAGAGGAGCGACGTAGAAAGTGCCCAAAAAGAGGCCAAGTTTACCGGTTCAGGTACTCCTAGTCATGAAAAGTGTTTGCTGATGTGTGCAGGCATAATCACCCTCATTCACACACACACAGCAATTAAGAAAATGAAATTCCTAATAAATATATCACTTGACAAAAATTCACAAATTTGCAGTTCTTTCAAGGATCAACTATGCTATTTGGAGAACTCTGGCTAAAGGTTACAATTTACAACTAGCTTTAATTATTCACTGATATTTTATTTTTTTTGTTATTGTGATGCGATCTAATTTAACGTACATTGGGTAAGACTATCTCATCCTCAGACAAGGTTTTTGATTTGATTAGATGATGTAACAAATTGTTTAGGTTTAAAAAAGTGTGGAATGGATAGTGTAGGACTTCCATAACCACATATAAGAATTAAATGATCCTTACTAACAACAAATAACAATAGTATTATCTTTGTTCCAATCAAAATAAGATGAGAATACACTACAAGAAAAAATACATTTAGTGACCGAATATTTTCGGTTGCAATTAGCGACCGATTTAATTTTGGTTGTAATTAGCGACCGATTTAATTTGGTCGCAATTAGCAACCGATTTAGCAACCGCTTTAGTTCGGTCGCAATTAGTGACCGATTTAGCGACCGAGTTAATTTGGTCGCAATTTAGCGACTGATTTAGCCACCGAAATATGATTTGGTTTCACTTTTTTATTTAGAGACCGAAATAACGACCAATAGTTTGTGTCGCAAAATTTCGGTCGCTAAATCGGTGACTATTCCATACTAAAATAAAAAAATCATTTAGCGACTGATTTAGCGACCGAATTACAAATTGAAATAGTGACCGAATTGAAATCGGTCAGCTAATGAGAAAATAGCGATCGAATTAAAATCAGTCGCTAATGAAAATTATTTATTTATTATATTTAAATTTATTTTTTTATAAATATACTTTAATTGTTTTAGTATATTTTTTACAATTTATTTTTTAAAAGTAATTTATTTTTGAAAAATAATTTAATTTTTAAAATATACTTTAAAAATAAACTTTGGTCTCAATATTAATAAAATGAAGATTAACTTTAATTTTAAATTACTAAAATAAAAAAATTATTAAAAATAAATGAAATTTATTAAAAATTTAAATTGTAATAAATTAAGACTAGAGTGATATTAACTATTCAATACATTATTTAAGAAAAGTTTAATAAAAAATATTCTTTAATTTATTTTTCAATTAAAAATTTTAATTGAAATTAAATTTTATTTTAAAAATTTATATTAAAAAATTAAACACATCAAATTATCACATTTTAATTCTTAATTAACTTAATTAAAAAATTACAATTTTAATCAAATTATTACAATTTTATTTTATATTATTATTAATTACTTAACCATGGTTGTTGTCATATAATTGATACACCCAAAAAAATTATATTAATATACATTAGACAATAAATATATTATTTAATTAAATTATTAATAAAAATATATTTATCTTTAGTTAAAATATTTTTTAGTTTAAGTATACTAATTAATATTTTTCATTTTTAACATAATTAATAACAAAGATTAAAAATAGACTGCTAGAAAAGTTAAAAATTTAAAATTAATCTATTTTATAAATACTAAAAATAAACCATATTTAAATAAATTAAAAATATATTTAAATTTATATTCAACATACCTCCAATTTTACTCAATAAATTTATAGATCACATTTAGAAACTTCATCACTTAAATAACTTCAAAATTATTAACTTTTTTTTTCAAAGCCAAGTTTTTCTTGTCAGTTTTTTCAAAAAAAATAGTTAATATAAATTAAGGTTGTACCTTTTTAAAATTTCAACTTTTTTATATATTGGATTTTTATTAAAAAATTTCTAAAATTGCATAAGAAAATAGAGATTTAATTATATTTTTAGTAAATTTAAGATAATACTAGTTTTTATTTTTATTTTTAAATATTCATTTTAATTTTTTAAAACAGAGAAACTATAATTTTAGTTTTTAAATACTAAATTTAAAGAATTAAATTTATTATTATTTAATATTTTAATTTTAGTATTAAAAATTTAAATTATATTTTATTAAATTAGAATAATTACAATATATTTTTCTACTTTGAGAATTAAAAATATAATTAAACTAAAACTGAAAATATTAAATACATTTTTGAACTCTTTTTTATAATATTTTTATCATTATTATATTTTTGGATTAATTGTTTTTTTCCTAATTTTTTATAAAGTCAATTTTAATATTTAAAAGTATTTAACATTTTGAATTCTGAAACTTTTTCTCTATTAGCAAATTTAAAAACATAATATACTAAAAAATATTATACATAATTATTTCATCCAAATTTTTAATAATATGATAAGTCATCAAATTCGTATATAAAATAAATTTAATGATGGATTAAAATAGAAAAACATTTATAAGAGATTATTTATTTTTATTTATGATGGATCAAAAGTGGAAATACATTTAAATTTATAATTTTATTTATGAAATACATTTAAATTTATAATTAACGAAAATAATGAAAATCTTAATATAATATGATACTTTTAGTAATGTATTTTTTTATAAATTAAAACTTACTTTTTTTTAGTTTAATTTTTAAATTTTATGTATTATTATTGTTAATTGATATATTAGAATAAATTTATAAAAAAATAGTCTTTATCTTCAAAATTCACTTCTTCAAATACTATCTTTCTATTTTTCTACTTGTTTCAGTATAGTTAAGAAGACCAACATTTATGCACACACTTAAATATAATATAAAGAGTATTTGTTTATTCTATTTTATTTTCAATCTTTAATATGAGTTTTTTAAAAATATATTTTATATTTTTAAAATTAATAATTTTAATATAGTTATCTAAGTTTTTTATGTGATGATTGTAATTAATTGATATTATCGAACGATTTAATTTGATTTATTATAGTAAAAATCATAAAAATAAATGTTAAAATAATATTAATTATTTTAAATTATAAGAAAATAAATAATAAAAATAGAAAATAAAGTATTATATAAAAGAAGACTAATTATTATAAAGATAAAATAGAATATGGGAGGAAATGAGGATGATAATATAGTAAAAATGATAGAGTTTAAAAATAATGTAGAATGTGAGAAGTTTAAAAAGAAAAAAAAGTTAAAAATGGATATATATATATATATATATATATATATATATATATATATATATATAAGTAATTGGATTTAATTTATTATCCCTTCGTATATTATTATACATTATTAGCGTAATTTTAGTTTAATTAAAAATTAGAATATAAATATACTATACTATACTAATATACCATTATATTATAATATTTATAATTTATTTTCATTGTGTATAAATTTTTATTTTAAATTTTTTCTTAAATATATAATTATATAAAAATATAAATATATAAAGATAAAAATATATATCTTTAATATTTTGTACATGTAAAAATAATTTTTATATATTTTTAAACCTTTTTCTAATATTTGTTTTTAAAAATAAAATATTATTTTAAAATTAATTATTTAAATTTTTAATTTTTTCTTAAATATATAAATATATAAAGATATAAATGTATAAAGATATAAATAAATATATAAATACATAAATATGTAAATATATAAATATAAAAATATGTAAATATATAAATATGTAAATACATAAATATATAAATATGTAAATATATAAATATATAATATGTAAATATATAAATATGTATAGAATACAAATATTCTATACTATATTAATATATAATTATATTATATTCATTGTGTATAAATTACAAAACTAATAATTTGTATACTATACTATACTAATATATAATTTATATACTATACTAATATAAAATTTATATATTATACTAATAGTATAATATACTATACTATAATATTACTTGTATACCAAACTAATATTTTTATATCTTTAAATATAAATATATAAAGATATAAATATGTAAAAATATAAATATATGTATAAATATAAAGATATAAATATATGTAAAGATATAAAAATATAAAGATCTAAATATATAAATATGTAAAGATATAAATATATATATCTTTAATATTTTATACATGTAAATATATAAAGATATAAATATATAATGATATAAATATATAAATATATAAAGATATAAATATATAAATATATAAAGATATAAATATATAAATATATAAATATATAAATATATAAATATATAAATATATAAATATATAAATATATAAATATATAAATATATAAATATATAAATATATAAATATATAAATATATAAATATATAAATATATAAATATATAAATATATAAATATATAAATATATAAATATATAAATATATAAATATATAAATATATAAATATATAAATATATAAATATATAAATATATAAATATATAAATATATAAATATATAAATATATAAATATATAAATATATAAATATATAAATATATAAATATATAATTATGTAAAGATATAAATATATATCTTTAATATTTTGTACATGTAAATATAATTTATATATATTTTTAAACTCTTTTCTAATATTTATTTTTAAAAATATAATATTACTTGAAAATTTAATATTTAAATTTTTAATTTTTTCTTAAATATATAAATATATAAATATATAAAGATATAAATAAATATATAAATTTATAAATTTATAAATATATCAATATATAAATATATCAATATATAAATATATCAATATATAAATATATAAATATATCAATATATAAATATATAAATATATAAATATATAAATATAAATATAAAAGATATGAATATTTAAATATATATATAAAAATATATTTGTATTTATAGATTTTATACTTATATATTTATAAAAGTAATTGGATTAAATTTATCATTCCCTCATATATTATTATACATGTGTAATTTTAATTTAATTAAAAATTAGAATACAAATATTCTATACTATACTAATATACCATTATATTATTTTCATTATGTATAAATTACAAAACTAATAATTTGTATATTATACTATACTAATATATAATTTGTATACTATACTAATATATAATTTATATACTATACTAATAGTATAATATACTATACTATAATATTATTTGTATACAAAACTAATATCTTTATATCTTTATATATAAATATATAACGATATAAATATATATGTAAAGATATAAATATATGTAGAAATATAAAAATATAAATATATAAAGATATAAATATATATAAAGATATAAATATATAAATATATAAATATGTAAAGTTATAAATATATATCTTTAATATTTTGTACATGTAAATATAATTTATATATATTTTTAAACTTTTTTCTATTATTTATTTTTAAAAATATAATATTACTTTAAAATTTAATATTTAAATTTT